TCCACCAAGGAACTCTACTTTGACATGGTATGAGATGTAGGCACAAGTAGGTAGGTGCTCAGTTCCTATAGTCAGTAGTCGTGTATGTTTAGTCGGGTTAGCTTAGATTAGATTGTTAGTTTTTTAATTTACCAAATGTCCATAAAAATGTGACCTGAGCAATGAGCATACCTGACTAACCTGACAGCTGACCTAACCTCAATCATCACACATATTTGCAGTCTACCCAAGACCTGCATGGCAGTAGCACCCAGTTATAGGTAGGTACTCACCCTAACTCAATCTTACCTGCTAACCTTCAACTTGCCAAAAGTTAGCTCACATTGCCAAGCTGCATCCAGGGAAACAGTCAACTGAGGAACTGGCTGTGGCTGGTGTGAGTCTGTGCATTTAAAGTGTTTCTTCTCTGAAGCTGCTCTGCACTGCTGTATGTCATGTTAGATGCTCAGAAAATGTGGGAAATGATTACTAAGCTACTTTAGTGCTTTGTTAATGCTCGAGACGTGAACAAGTACAGTTCCTGCAAGGTACAGCTATGAGTTAGGTGCTAGGTGAGTATGTTATGTGAATGTGCTGTTCCCTGTTTGACCGTAAGTATACAAACAAGCACAGGGTCACAGTTATATTCAATCTCCACATAAACATACAACAAAAACGGCCATATAGCAACTCCGAACACACCACAGATAACTTAAGCCTTTGCAGGCACAAAAATGTTTTAATTAACAGGACAGGTATACAATATATCCTCTGTCCTTGGGGGATCTTGCTGCCAAGTTGAGATACGATGACTAAACTTCAGGATTGATCAACCTTTTCTTAGCCACTGCTTATATACGAGAAAGACCAAATGCTTGTTTGTTTTGATTTACAGGACATGTATACAATATATCCTCTGTCCTTGGGGGATCTTGCTGCCAAGTTGAGGTACGATGACTGAACTTCAGGATTGATCAACCTTTTCTTAGCCACTGCTTATAAACGAGAAAGACCAAATGCTTGTTTGTAAACTGTGTTGAAAATTTAATGATCCACCTTCAATTCCAGTTCTGACATGAAGGCACAAATGAAATAGTTACCTCTCCTTTTGGAATACACAAAGCAAAATATTTAATAAATTTTAGTGGATGGACAAGAGCAATTAGCATAGCTTTCCCTCATTAAATTCTGGCACTGGTGATCAAGGCCCTCTGATGATGAATTACACTGACGCTTTTTCGCTTCATATTTTGTAACAAACGCGCTAAAACTGCAATATAACAGCACTAAATGCTTCTTGACAAAATGCAATAGTAGTAGAAATTTAGCCCTAATGGCATTCGTTCTTGGTGGAAACGTAATTACAAAATATTTTGTAGTAACTATTAAATTCCGGCCCAAAACAGTGCACGGTTTAAAAAAGAATCATTCCAATTACGGTCCATTCTTGCGGTCCTGAAATCGCCACTATTTCCGGCCTCTCCAACGCAACTCGTTGTCCAGACGTAAATATGCATGTTTCGCTGAACTGGCAGTCGCTCAAATTGTATTCGACGAAATAGATGTCGCTGAAACATAGCTTTCGCTAAAATTGATAATCGCTATATTTGATAATCGCTGAATTTGATTATCGCTGAATTGCCAATCGCTGAAAATGGTTCGCTCAAATGACACTCGCTAAAGTCGCTCGCACCGGCAACCAACCACCGCCCGGCGCTCCCCTCTTCACAGCTCCGAAATGCTGCGCTGTGACCCACTGTGACCCACTGTGACCCGCTCTGACCCACTGTGACCCGTTCTGACCCACTGTGACCCGCTCTGAGCCGCCCTGTGACCCACTGTGACCCGCTCTGAGCCGCTCTGGATTTTAGGACTAAAGTACGTATCGCTAAAGTACGTAGGACAAAAGTACGTATGCAAATGTTCGTACGCAAATATACGTAGGCGATAAAGTTCGTATGCCAAAAGTACGTACGCAAATGTTCGTACGCAAAAGTACGTATGCAAAAGTACGTAGTGCATAAAGTACGTATGTCAAAAGTACGTACGCAAATGTTCGTACGCAAAAGTACGTATGAAAAAGTACGTAGTGCATAAAGTACGCATGCCAAAAGTACGTACGCAAATGTTCGTACGCAAAAATACGTATGCAAAAGTACGGAGTTTAAAATGTACGTATGACAAAAGTACGTACGCAAATGTTCGTACGCAAAAGTTCGTATGCAAAAGTACGTAGTGTTTAAAGTACCTATGCCAAAAGTACGTACGCAAATGTTCGTACGCAAAAGTACGTATACAAAAGTACGTAGTGTATAAAGTACGTATGCCAAAAGTACGTACGCAAATGTTCGTACGCAAAAGTTCGTATGCAAAAGTACGTAGTGTGAAAAGTACGTATGCCAAAAGTACGTACGGTTCTTATGCCAAAGTACATAGTGTATAAAGTACGTAAGCTAGAAGTAGGGTATAGTAGTGTAAGTTGAGCCACTTTTTCTTTATTGCTGCTCTGTTGCCATACTACAGGGAACTCATGATAAATTCATATACCAAATAATATAGCTTTGTCCATTTCGCCCATTTACCCATCGAAAAATTTTGTTATGCCTTGTAACAAATGCTCATTAAATAAAGAATAAGAAAGTTATTACACATTGATCAACTTAACCCAAAGGTGGGGTACGTACTTAATACCCTACGTACATTTGCTATACCTACTTTTGTCCGTGACGTACTTTTGTCCACACGTAGGGTAGACCGGGGCAAGTCGCCCCGCCGAGGTAAAACGCCTCACCGATGTTTCTCGGAACCAACAGGGTTCTGGGGAAGGATCCTCTTTTCTGTTAACCCGGCCGGGCCCGGGAGGTAATTCCAACCACCGGAGCCCGGGGAGGGGCGTTTTTCGCCCCCCCCTGTCTAACTCCGTAAATAAGGGAAGCTACGCAAACAAAAGATATACCAAACAAAAGGTCCTTACAAGACGATTCTAAAGCACCCAAAATTTTTGACCTCAGGTCAATTTTCAAGGTCAGAGGTCAAGGTCAAAGGCAAAAACCGGCACATGTGTAGTGATCTCAAAGTGAGCGTTCTAGAGGACGGCAGGATGCATAAAACCGGCAAAATTGGGTGTCAAACGAAAGAAGAGAATCATCTGAGAATTCCGAAAATGTGCTCAACATCAAAGGTCAAGGTCATGCTCAAAATTTACCTCAAACTTTGCACTTTTTCGTACCTACATCTTGCGTGTCAACTTCCAAGATGTTTTGAAATGTTTTGAGGCTTATCAGGTCCCTATTTGTGGTTCATCTTACGATACAAGGCTGCTCAAAGGTCAAGGTCACAGAAGAGAGTCCTTGCTAGAGGCTATTTAACTGATTCAAGTAAGTAATAATAAATAAGACAATTTTGCCATCCGGAGGCTCTAAATAAAGGCTTAGAGGAAAATAGATGCCAGATTCGTGATCAGCGGGTGGGAATCCATCATAAACGACTTTTGGTGTGTCAAGGTCGACCAAAGGTCATTCGAGGTCACATGAGGTCAACATAAAACTTGTCCTTTTCCAAACAAAATATATATATATCATTCGACGCGGCTTGACAAGGCAAATGCGATGGTACCACTGCCGTAACTCTAGGACCATTTTTGTCGAAGTTATTTGCGAAAAAACTAAAACCACAGCTCGGGGTCGTTGACCTGACCTCTGACCTCAGGTCACTAAAACTATTTTTGTATTTTTCTCTAGGTCAAACGCTACACAACCGTGCTCGTAATTTGTCTTTATCTCTAAAACTCTATTTTTAGCAGCTATTTGAAGTTCGCGTCTGTGAAACCGAAGTTTGCCGTGCAGGGGTCTAGAAAAATCGACTTTGTAACGTCATCAATGGGGCTAGGTCCAAATTTTTTACTTCAGAAGATGTCAAATTGATGGGAGAAACGGTACTGAAAGTTTCGCTTTCCTATCCCTATAAACGTTCGGGAGCTATCGCAAATATTCGCCAGGGGGGGGGGGGTGGCAAAAAACGCCCCCCGGGCCCGCGAGGGTTAATCTAGTGTATGGGGCTTCTTGCCTCAGGCCGTGGGGCGTTTTGCCCTGGGGTTGGGGCAAAATGCCCCATTTGCAGTTGCTTCACAAAGCACTTCCTAGCTGGGAGTCCGATCATAAGTGAATGAATTTGAGAGGTGGAATTTAACGTAAAATGTCCAAAGAACACATTGAGCACAAATTTGGCCTTCCAGGTGGTGTGAGATAAAAGCAGGTACCTATGTAGCAAAATAAATTATCTGGGGCGTCTTGCCCAAGGCTACCCTACTTTATACTCTACGTACATTTGCTATGCGTAGGCTTTTGTACGTGACGTACTTTTTTTGTCCATACGTACTTTATACCCTACGTACTTCTGCGATCCGTACTTTTGTCCGTGACGTACTTTTGTCCATACGTACCTTTTACCCAACGTACATTAGCTATACGTACTTTTGTCCGTGACGTACTTTTGTCCATACGTACTTTATACCCTACGTACTTCTGCGATACGTACTTTTGTCCCTGACGTACTTTTGTCCATACGTAGTTTATATAGTACGTACTTCTGCGATACGTACTTTTGTCCCTGACGTACTTTTGTCCATACGTACTTTATACTGTACGTACTTCTGCGATACGTACTTTTGTCCTTGACGTACTTTTGTCCATACGTACTTTATATTGTACGTACTTCTGCGATACGTACTTTTGTCCCTGACGTGCTTTTGTCCATACGTACTTTATACTGTACGTACTTCTGCGATACGTACTTTAATCCTACGTACTTTTGCTTACGTACTTTTGTCCTACGTACTTTAGCGATACGTACTTTTGTCCGTAACCCGCCGCTCTGACCCACTGTGACCCGCTCTGACCCGCCCTGTAACCCACTGTAACCCGCTCTGACCCACTGTGACCCACTGTGACCCGCTCTGACCCACTGTGACCCACTGTGACCCGCTCTGACCCACTGTGACCCGCCATCTGCCGCCGCCGCAGGGAGGGCAAGTCGTTCCCGCTGGGCGCCGGCTGGACGTTCACCGGACGGCACCGCAGCGCCATCTGCGACACCACGCCCATCTCCTACCTCAACTTCAACTTCCCGCCGCCAGGTGGCAGTGGCCTCAGCTTCCGAGACGTCCAGACGCTCTTTGAGAAGGTCAGTGACTCCGTGTGGAGGGAGGGCGGGGGGGAGCTCGGCCCCGGCTCACTGCCGGAGCTGTCAACTGCCATAGGCCATTCTTATAAAGAAAAAGGACGGAGGGACGGAAGGAAAAAAGAACTCAATGAATTAAACGATTCCGTCCTTATTGGTTATCATAAAGATTCCGTCCCTCTACCCCTCCCCCTTCGTTGTTTTGCTAGGATGCGTTTTTCGTCTAAATGATCAAGAGCTTTAGTAAATGAAACGGGAATTATTTCCTGCAATATTTTCTTACAAATTTCGTCACAAAGAATGCAACAAGACTAACAAAATATTGTGTGATCGCTATATAGGTATAATAAAATGAGAACCTGCAATTATTTGGGATCATATTTGAATTTTTATGGGACCGGGGGCTGTTGTCTGCTACGATACATAGCCTTGGCGGCCTTGGCTACGATGAAGGATAATATAGATAGGCGAAGTATGTAATATGTTGTAGTCTTTCCTGCTAGGCTGAAACCCACCAAAGATTGTTTTTGCGTATAAATGTGGTAATGCCTATGTCTTACTCAGTGATAGGGTGTCTAATAAGCGGTAAGGGAACAACGCAGACACCCTGAGTTAGCGTGGCGGCTCGGGACAGGCGGTAGAGATAAAAGGGGAGGGGATACTGATAAGGCATCTTATCGTTCTAGGGGACGACGCGGCGCGCGGCGAACGCGCGCGGCGGCTCGGGATGAAAGGGAGGGAGAGAGGGAAGGAGTAGGTAGAGAGAGAGAGAGACGGGGGGCGCAGGTGTTGTTTTGACGAACTGCCACGCTAAAGAGGGGGGAGGTGGAGCGGGGGAAGAAATGGCCTGTGGATCTTCTCTGTGTGGGGACAGCGAGGACAGTCCAGCGAGAGCGCTTGAGCGTGGCGGAGTGTATACGAATTTCTCTGCGTGCAAACAAGAACTTGAAGTGCTAACGAGAAGTTGTAGTGCCACGTGACTCAGACCTCCAACCGTGATACCAGTCGAGGCGCCAGAGGACACAGGACACAGGCCAGGTGAGGGTGGAGCTACTGGGAGGCAGTTGCAAACAGTAAACACCTACCACTTAGGTATGTACTGGATATTGCATCTCAAGGTGTCCAATCCTGCCTGTTAATGTGTATGCCCGATAAACAACGATAGCTGCAGAACGATAAGGTGGCGGTCTATAGGTACTTGGTCTGCATGTCAAATTGACTAATTTTCGTGTGAAATAACTCCCGACCAATGTCGTACAGCTCACATATCGATTAGCATGCAGCCTGAAACACATTTCGCACAAGTTGCTCTCGCAACCAGCTAAATATCGTATCAATGCCGTAAAAAAGCGCTGCTGAAGAGCAGCGCTATTTCTGGTGCGTTATTTTTCACGAACAACGCAAAGTCTTACGTCACCAGAGGCGTCTTTGTCTCTTTATGATACGGAAACGCGTCCTTTTGGGTGGGGGTAGCGTCAATCTGGCTTCGTTCTTTTAACTGGTTCCGTCTTTCGTCTTCGTCCTTTTATGATAACCAAATTCCGTCTAATCTCAGAAATGACGGAGCGTCCCTCCGTTCTTTTCTTTATAAGAATGGCCACATACCGAGCCCTTCGTAATGAAGTACACCTACTGACACCAGCCTTCATGGCACACCGGCCAATGGCTACTGTATAACACTGCACACCAGCCTTCATGGCACACCGGCCAATGCTACTGTATAACACTGCCTTCATGGCACACCGGCCAATGGCTACTGCATAACACTGCCTTCATGGCACACCGGCCAATGGCTACTGTATAACACTGCACACCGGAGGCGTCATTTCCGAGACCCAGGCCGCCCTGAGTAGTCTTTTGTAATGAACGAACAGTGTTTCATGGACACAACAATCGAATGTTTCAGTGTATATTTTTATCGATGACACCTAAAAATAGCTCGCTTCAAAGTTCAGTGCAATGAGTAAAGCATCCCCCCCCCCTCGGTCGACCGGCCCTGGGCGCGGCCCTGCGTCTGCCTGGTTCCCGGCCGCCGGCTGCCCCGGTCGGGTGGGTCTGCTGACAGGCTGAACACAGGGAGCAGCCCTGGACAGTGGACACGGCCGGCGGGCTACCCTACCCGAGCTCCGGCGGCAGAGAGTGAATACGACACGGGCCGCCCGAATACGGCACGGGCCGGGTCCGGCGGCCGGCGCGGCGCGGCCGGGCAGAGTGGCGGAGGTGCTGGGCAGAGTGGCGGAGGTGCCGGGCAGAGGGGCGGAGGTGCCGGGCAGAGTGGCGGAGGTGCCGGGCAGAGGGGTCGTCGTCTGACACCCCAGAAAGGTGGCGTTGTTGTGCTGGCACGCCGGGAGGGGGAGAGGAGGGGAGGGACACACAGCCACGGCAGGAGAGGGGAGGGGGGACACACAGCCACTCTCGGCAGGGGAGGGAGGGGGAGGGGATGGTTACAAGTACAGCTGGCGGCAGGGCCGGTGCCTGTTGTCATATTCTCATTCAAACGTGCTGGTGCCCCAACTATGCTGCAAGCTTACTTTGAGGAAGCGGTGCCATTTCAGAGTTTATTCGATGTTCGTCCGAAGCAGCCAAGCCAGCCATTTGTCCAGATGTCCGCAAACTACGCAATAATGTGCACTCAACACTCAGTTATTTAAATTGCCTTTAAGGTACTTTTATCAGCCCAAAAGTGTTCAGCGTATCGAGAGCTGAGCTTTCTATTCGCCTATCTATGTTATACGGGATTACCTCATAAAATGCTGAGGTGTAATAAGTGATTGTCCAATGCTATCCAATGCCGGCTGCCTAAATTCTGAATTGAACATTGGACAAAGTCGGAATTCCGGAAGGTCAAGTTCCGATTGACAGCGGTACTTTGTACTTAGTAAATGGAGAAAGTAAGAAAATGGATTTGCTCAAGAAACTATCGCTCGGGCAATTATCAGTTAAGTTTCATTATTAGCTGTTTTGAAGTAACTCACATTATGCACTCACGGTTATAGTATAGTACGTAAACATTTCACTGTCATATTACGCACCACTCTCCGCTCCCAGACGCCCATACGGTATGTTCCAAACCACTCAGCGTGTGCTCTCACGGCCACCGCCTGCCGAAGCATGTAGTGGATGGGTCATCAACGCATGATTACCTCCGACGCCAGGATGGTAACATACCATTTCCCGCTTATGAGAGATCACTTCTCCATCATTGTGGTTTGGGACACACGGCACCCCCACGTGGGGAGTCGCGTTAATACCTGTCGGATGGCTCCTGTAGAAGTGAGGTCCTACTTGTAGACCGCTCAATCCAAACCTCATCCTGAAGACCAGAGGAGCTGAATGTGAGTTTTAGGTATAGTGTGCACCTTGAACATAAATGCGGTGTGTGAACACACCACAGAATAGTATCATTCGTTAGTATGTCTTGATGTCCTACCAAAAACGGACATGAGATCCGAAGTAATTATATTCCAAGTACAGTTAAGCAATAAGGGGGTCCAGTTTTGCCCCTGCACTACAGAGCCATCTGTTATCAACGGTTAGGACTAACGCTTCGCTAGCCCACAGTACTTCACTCAGAAATGATAATTACCTCAATATAAAGTTCTTCTTTTTCCGATGTTACCTGGTATTAAACTCCACACTTATGTGGTGCTCGAATGAACTCTTCCACTGGATTTTTCCTGAATAACTCGCTTGAATAGAAGCGGATCATTTACACCGGCACCTCCAAAGATTTTGAATTGGGGGGAGACCGGAGAGGCCCGGGGGGGGGGGGGGGCTAAATCATTGTTGGTGTTAATCAAACCTTGCCTTTCTGCAGTCGTTACTCGCTTTACTTTGAAATATCATTTGGCGTGCAATGGTGCGAGGAACGCGATGGTGAAAGTTTTTATCCTAGGTGGGTAGGTATAAGGGGCAGCTTAAAGGGACTATCCCACCTTTAACCCGGCAGTTGCTGGGGTATTTCGCCACCCACCGTTTGCTGGGGGGGGGGGGGGCGTTAAACGCCCCCAGCCGATAACTCGAGAACCAATAGGCGCAGCGAAACGCACGAGGCGGCAAACGAAAGAGCGCGACGAGACGCTTCAGATGAGTACTTTAAAGTTGAATTTTGAGGTCACAGGTCGGGTCAAGGTCAGGTCAAACACCTGAAATCGGGCTTTCAGTAGCATGGACTTCAGGACTTCGCAATGGGCACCTCTCGTCATAAACTCTGTCCAAACGGTGCACAATCCATCATATAAGGCCTACAAGAGTGTCAGCTCCATGTAGGGGTCAGTCAAGCATAGGTCAGGGTCAAGGTCAGGTCAACCGGGTAGGCACATATCCCCGAAAATCAAAACTGATATTCGCAGCCTGTGACACATGTTTTATAGGTAATTTGGGGCGTAGAACACGATGGTGACATTCATTTTATCATATGTGTACGTGTTTGGCTCAAAAAGTTCAATTTAAGAAATGCATGTATCATGGTCGTGAAGTAGTCACGAAAAATTGCCACGATTCAGTTCAAGATTATGGAAAATGCGGAACGATAAGCAATAATCGAAAATAGCCATTTGATTGATCATGGTATTGGCAGTCTAATGGCGTTTACGGCATGTCTGTATGTCTATTCTGTGATTTTATATGATTTTTTGAACATATGCCGTTTTTGGTCGAAAACTCAGAAATCATGACGTCACTAAAACCTCGATATCTCAAAAATTTTCCGACCGATTTTTTTTAAACTTTGTCACAACAAACTTCAATCAATTCCCTACAGGTACCCAAAATTTGGCGCGCCTGCGGCGCGCCGTTTTTATGCTATGGCCCGGCGAAAAAAGTGGGGGCGTTTAACGCCCCCCCCCCCAGCAACTCGCGAGTTAACATGGGGTTCGAGTTGAGATAGCCAAGTTTGCGGCGAGGTTCAGAAACCACTATCTATCTAGGTTGCAACCCCCGCGGCCTCTTGGTGTTGAAGAAATTCAAGGCCCTATCTTCAACATGGAGCGACCGTTAGTGTGACGTCACCTCGTTTAGTCATCCTGATTTAAATGGGTTTGTTCGTTGAAAAATCGCTTAAAACTTGGTCTGAACTCTGTTGTGGTGCCTACAGAGTAAAAAGAATCAGCTTTATGACAGTAATGTGGCCTGGGGAAGGAGGTAATTTTGGGCTGTGACGTCACATAGTTGAAAGTTTGTGTTCGGAATATGGGAAGCCTAAGATGTTTAATGAAAAATAAATGCCAGAACCGTGTTCCTGGTCATCCAATCTATAAAGTCGGGCACAATTTAAGTGGTTTAACAACATTTTAGAAGGTGGGATAGTCCCTTTAAGGGCCTTAATCCTAGGTGTAAAAACGTATTTAGGTACGTATTTAAAATCTTATTAAACAAACGATTAATAAATTTAAAAGAAAATGTCTCGACAATTTTTGACAATATGATTTGACAATTTGATTTGATTTGGCTGTCTTGACAAACGACACGTCTTTCAAGACAGCCTCAGATTCAGATTCACATTCAGAATCACATTCAGAATCACATTCGGACCCCAATAGATTTTCATAAGTACTGGCTAATTTGTAGTTTTTGACGTTGATTACGAAGGTGAAGTCTGTTTTTCGCCACATAGTACACTTTGGCCCCTAGGGGCATTTCAAGTTTTTGGGGTACCTAACTGTACCCCCTCCTGGGACCCCTTGACTACGCCACTGTTTAGTGTTTCATATGCGTCATGTCAGGTATTTTGGGCTTGCCCCCCCCCCCCAACTTGAAAATCGCTCCTGGGCCCCTGTTTCGGTAAGATCAAAACAAAACAAAACACAAAATTTATCCACAATAGTTAGTCAATAGTCACGTGATTGCTAAGGAGTGTCACAGATTCGTCAGATTTGTGACCGTTACTCAAAACATGCGATATACCTGTTAGTTCCAGCTGCCTCTAGGGCCGAGCAGAGTCTCCTGGTAGTTCCAGCTGCCTCTAGGGCCGAGCAGAGTCTCCTGGTAGTTCCAGCTGCCTCTAGGGCCGAGCAGAGTCTCCTGTTAGTTCCAGCTGCCTCTAGGGCCGAGCAGAGTCTCCTGTTAGTTCCAGCTGCCTCTAGGGCCGAGCAGAGTCTCCTGTTAGTTCCAGCTGCCTCTAGGGCCGAGCAGAGTCTCCTGTTAGTTCCAGCTGCCTCTAGGGCCGAGCAGAGTCTCCTGTTAGTTCCAGCTGCCTCTAGGGCCGAGCAGAGTACCTGTTAGTTCCAGCTGCCTCTAGGGCCGAGCAGAGTCTCCTGTTAGTTCCAGCTGCCTCTAGGGCCGAGCAGAGTCTCCTGTTAGTTCCAGCTGCCTCTAGGGCCGAGCAGAGTCTCCTGTTAGTTCCAGCTGCCTCTAGGGCCGAGCAGAGTCTCCTGTTAGTTCCAGCTGCCTCTAGGGCCGAGCAGAGTCTCCTGTTAGTTCCAGCTGCCTCTAGGGCCGAGCAGAGTCTCCTGTTAGTTCCAGCTGCCTCTAGGGCCGAGCAGAGTCTCTTGTTAGTTCCAGCTGCCTCTAGGGCCGAGCAGAGTCTCCTGGTAGTTCCAGCTGCCTCTAGGGCCGAGCAGAGTCTCCTGTTAGTTCCAGCTGCCTCTAGGGCCGAGCAGAGTCTCCTGTTAGTTCCAGCTGCCTCTAGGGCCGAGCAGAGTCTCCTGGTAGTTCCAGCTGCCTCTAGGGCCGAGCAGAGTACCTGGTAGTTCCAGCTGCCTCTAGGGCCGAGCAGAGTCTCCTGTTAGTTCCAGCTGCCTCTAGGGCCGAGCAGAGTCTCCTGTTAGTTCCAGCTGCCTCTAGGGCCGAGCAGAGTCTCCTGTTAGTTCCAGCTGCCTCTAGGGCCGAGCAGAGTACCTGGTAGTTCCAGCTGCCTCTAGGGCCGAGCAGAGTCTCCTGTTAGTTCCAGCTGCCTCTAGGGCCGAGCAGAGTCTCCTGGTAGTTCCAGCTGCCTCTAGGGCCGAGCAGAGTCTCCTGTTAGTTCCAGCTGCCTCTAGGGCCGAGCAGAGTCTCCTGTTAGTTCCAGCTGCCTCTAGGGCCGAGCAGAGTCTCCTGGTAGTTCCAGCTGCCTCTAGGGCCGAGCAGAGTACCTGGTAGTTCCAGCTGCCTCTAGGGCCGAGCAGAGTCTCCTGTTAGTTCCAGCTGCCTCTAGGGCCGAGCAGAGTCTCCTGTTAGTTCCAGCTGCCTCTAGGGCCGAGCAGAGTCTCCTGTTAGTTCCAGCTGCCTCTAGGGCCGAGCAGAGTCTCCTGGTAGTTCCAGCTGCCTCTAGGGCCGAGCAGAGTCTCCTGTTAGTTCCAGCTGCCTCTAGGGCCGAGCAGAGTCTCCTGGTAGTTCCAGCTGCCTCTAGGGCCGAGCAGAGTCTCCTGTTAGTTCCAGCTGCCTCTAGGGCCGAGCAGAGTCTCCTGTTAGTTCCAGCTGCCTCTAGGGCCGAGCAGAGTCTCCTGGTAGTTCCAGCTGCCTCTAGGGCCGAGCAGAGTCTCCTGTTAGTTCCAGCTGCCTCTAGGGCCGAGCAGAGTACCTGTTAGTTCCAGCTGCCTCTAGGGCCGAGCAGAGTCTCCTGTTAGTTCCAGCTGCCTCTAGGGCCGAGCAGAGTCTCCTGTTAGTTCCAGCTGCCTCTAGGGCCGAGCAGAGTCTCCTGTTAGTTCCAGCTGCCTCTAGGGCCGAGCAGAGTCTCCTGTTAGTTCCAGCTGCCTCTAGGGCCGAGCAGAGTCTCCTGTTAGTTCCAGCTGCCTCTAGGGCCGAGCAGAGTCTCCTGATCTTCACCAGTCGGCAGGCACTAGCGAAAAAAGTTGAAAATGTTCCAATAGGTACCTTCTCGGCTCGCCTTGCTAAAACCAACATGCACACATGCAAAGTTTCTCTGTGAAAATGAGTTGATAGGCAGGGCGTGAAATTCGCTGGCGATTCGGGGCGGGACAGGGTGACAAAGAACGTTTGCCAGCGAGTAGCCCTCCCCTCCCTTCCCCCAGCTACAGGTATATAGCATTGTGCTAGCGGGGATGCAAAATTGAAAAGGACGTGTATGTTATAGGAATGGTCAGAGGTTGAAGGGCAGAAGGTATGAAAGTGTGCAATGTCATCATCATAAGGGATATTGATAATATAGTTATCTATGAAAAAGCTAGCACGGAATCCCTCCTTAGAGGTCAGTGGAGTTATTTGGGAGCCGGCGCGCCACGCCCTCGTGAGATGTGTGGCACTTGAACGGCACTTGAACCTGTCGCACACATTTGACCAGGGTTGGGAAGCACCCAAACAGCCCCGAAGTTTTCGCGTCACGCTTTGACCGAAAAATTTGGTGTCAGCATACACAGTTGGGCCGCATGATGACGCTGTGATATGTAGTTCGGCCGCAGCCTGACGCTGCTCTGTGTTCCCAGTTGGGCCGCAGTATGATGCCGCTGCTCTGTGTCCCCAGTTGGGCCGCAGTATGATGACGCTGCTCTGTGTTCCCAGTTGGGCCGCAGTATGATGACGCTGCTCTGTGTTCCCAGTTGGGCCGCAGTATGATGACGCTGCTCTGTGTTCCCAGTTGGGCCGCAGTATGATGACGCTGCTCTGTGTTCCCAGTTCGGCCGCAGTATGATGACGCTGCTCTGTGTTCCCAGTTGGGCCGCAGTCTGACGTCGTGCTCTGTGTTCCCAGTTCGGCCGCAGTATGATGACGCTGCTCTGTGTTCCCAGTTCGGTCGCAGTATGATGACGCTGCTCTGTGTTCCCAGTTGGGCCGCAGTATGATGACGCTGCTCTGTGTTCCCAGTTCGGCCGCAGTATGATGACGCTGCTCTGTGTTCCCAGTTCGGCCGCAGTATGATGACGCTGCTCTGTGTTCCCAGTTCGGCCGCAGTATGATGACGCTGCTCTGCACGGTCCGGTACGCGGACGTCAGTGCCCCAAACAACATGGAATGGGACGCAGTGGACATCGTGCCCAACGTCTTCAGAAACTGGTGCGTCACTCAATCAGTCAGTCAACGGGGGCCGACAGTCAGTCAGTCACTGTGTCAGTCGCTGTGTCAGTCAGTCAGTCAGACAGTCAGTCAGTCAGTCAGTCAGTCAGTCAGTCAGTCAGTCAGTCAGTCAGTCACTTGGTGAGCAGCGGGTCACGTTTGCAGTTCTATTTGGGGGGGGGGGGGGTGCGTATCGGCCGGTACCGAGGCCGTCTGACCGGTGCCCCCTGCGCTGTGACCGCCGACCACTGACCGGTACCCCCTGCGCTGTGACCGCCGACCACTGACCGGTACCCCCTGCGCTGTGACCGCCGACTACTGACCGGTACCCCCTGCGCTGTGACCGCCGACCACTGACCGGTACCCCCTGCGCTGTGACCGCCGACCACTGACCGGTACCCCCTGCGCTGTGACCGCCGACCACTGACCGGTACCCCCTGCGCTGTGACCGCCGACCACTGACCGGTACCCCCTGCGCTGTGACCGCCGACCACTGACCGGTGCCCCCTGCGCTGTGACCGCCGACTACTGACCGCTGCCCCCTGCGCTGTGACCGCCGACTACTGACCGGTGCCCCCTGCGCTGTGACCGCCGACCACTGACCGCTGCCCCCTGCGCTGTGACCGCCGACTACTGACCGCTGCCCCCTGCGCTGTGACCGCCGACTACTGACCGGTGCCCCGGCCCGACCCCTGCGCTGTGACCGCCGACTACTGACCGGTGCCCCCTCCCTCTGCGCTGTCATCTCCGAACAGGTGGGCCCTATTACTGATTTGGGTGTCTCATACCGTTCGCTCCCCAGATATGTTGTCCAGTATTGGCTGTTAATGGCCGTCTGCACCCAAATCGTGTTATCGTTCATATCATGATCGATAACAAGACGCCAAACTCGCCAACGGAGCAGAATGTACAGCCCACCGCTAAAGTAATGTGTGGTTTTACCAATCTCAACGGATGGCTTTGACCGACGATTTTTAAATGCGGACTGATTGAAAAGAAGACGTCAATAGATAAAGCTGTAGCTGCAAGGGTGAAGATACATGTAAGCTACATTTAAAGTCTCGTTGCAGTCTGGCTAATCGTTCCTAGGCTTCAGAAGCAGAACATACCCATGACTGAAACCACACATTACTTCTGCTGTGGACTGTACATGCGGTTATATAGGTATTTCCAGCTTATTACGGCGTTAGATCATGTACGAGGCAAATCATGAATACGCCGCCGAAGTCACGCCTAGGATTGTTTAATCGCAGTACCACAGCCTGCCGTGCCGGGCTATCTGCTGTTTTGCACTTGTCTGACCGGCCCGCCGGCGCCGCAGTGTGCGTTATGAGCCATGCCAGGTCGTCTTTCCGAGCGTCCGCACGCTCTGCTGCACGTTCTCTGCCGCACGTTCCCTTACCCAAGTCCTCTCCTCTCCTCTCCTCTCCTCTCCTCTCCTCTCCTCTCCTCTCCTCTCCTCTCCTCTCCTCTCCTCTCCTCTCCTCCTCTCTCTCTCTCTCCTCTCCTCTCCTCTCCTCTCCTCTCCTCTCCTCTCTCTCTCTCTCTCTCTCTCTCTCTCTCTCCTCTCCTCTCCTCTCCTCTCTCTCTCTCTCTCTCTCTCTCTCCTCTCCTCTCCTCTCCTCTCCTCTCCTCTCCTCTCCTCTCCTCTCCTCTCTCTCCTCTCCTCTCCTCTCCTCTCCTCTCCTCTCCTCTCCTCTCCTCTCCTCTCCTCTCCTCTCCTCTCCTCTCCTCTCCTCTCCGGCTGTCTCATGGTCCTTCCCTTGTTTGTGGCGGTTTGTCGGCGGTGTAGCTTTTATCACCGCAATGGCCGTCCAGGTCGTAAGCAAATAGCACCACTGTGTCCACAGATTCCCCAAGCAAATAGCACCACTGTGTCCACATATTCCCCTCATGTCCCGAGGGCTGTTCACGGGCCAGCTCCGCCCACTGCGTCCCTACGTCAGCCTTCCGTCACCGCACACAGCGACCGCTGTGGCCGGTCGGGGGGACTGGCCACAGGAAACCGTCCGCCGCACGCAGCCGTGACTTCAGAGCCGCCTACCCATCCCCTACCACCACGCCTGCTGGACGTACCGCACACACCGCACGCAGCAGTGTGCGGTGCCCGTGAACACCCCTCAGCTTTCGTGTTTGACGAGCGTTAGTCACCGAGTTTGCCGCGCTGCGTTTCTGCTGGGCGATACGCGTTGGCCGTTGAACTTGGCATGACTGGCAGGCGCCGCTATTGCGCCCCTTATATCGATACCATACCGAGACCGCGCTGATGGGGATATGCACCGACCAGTTGGCGGCATGTTGACCCTGTTAACGTCATCTAGACCGCCTTGCCGACGCCGGGTCGAAACCAACAGAAATGTGACGCCCACACCACGTGGTCAAAGTAACCGGACCCGGTCATTCCAGCCGGTGGTCCAACCTAAATACACTAACCGTAGCGTTCACTGTCTTGCTGGGGGAGAGCCGGCGCCGGCCGAGACGAGACGAGACGAGTCGGCCGTTGGGGGTCACGTCATTGAGGCTCGAGTGGGCGGAGCCTATTGACGTCCCATTTGGCAACCGAATCTGGTCTGATGACCTGGATACGCTTTTCCGACCATGTATACATGTTTCTAAGGTAGTTTTGGAGCTGATATCGAATTTAGCAACACTAAGAACAGTCACGAAGTAGTTTTAATGCCTTCTTAACATGCTACGACGCCCTCATCGGTAGTTTACCCATCCCTCCCGGGAGCCCTCCCCGTGTATAGTCGACTACAGAATGATGTTCCACTCCTCAGAAGCTATCAGTTGGCCTGAACGCTAAGTTGTGCCGTTTATCACGCAATTAAGCGTGTCAATTGTGAGCATTGGGACAAAGCTATAATTTGTGAACTCAGCCCGTGTGATGCGGCACAGCCTACCACTCCAGGCAAATATTTGCCTGTGATAAGTGGAACATCATTCTGTAGTTGACTATACTGTGCGCGCCTTATCTCGCCCCGGCCGCGGCCCGGTCCCCTCCCCGTCCCTGGACCCGGGCCGTCAACCGCGCGCCACGACTCGGGTCTCCTCCCACTCCTCCCTCTGCCCCTCCCTCCCTCCTCGTGCTGGCCTTCCTCCGCTCACTCTATTCGAGCCCCAAATCGAGCTACTACTGACCGGTGCCCCGGCCCGACCCCCTGCGCTGTGACCGCCGACTACTGACCGCTGCCCCCTGCGCTGTGACCGCCGACCACTGACCGGTGCCCCCTGCGCTGTGACCGCCGACTACTGACCGGTGCCCTCTGCGCTGTGACCGCCGACCACTGACCGGTGCCCCCTGCCCTCTCTGACCGCCGACCACTGACCGGTGCCCCCTGCCCTCTCTGACCGCCGACCACTGACCGGTGCCCCCTGCCCTCTCTGACCGCCGACCACTGACCGGTGCCCCCTGCCCTCTCTGACCGCCGACCACTGACCGGTGCCCTCTCTGACCGCCGACCACTGACCGGTGCCCTCTCTGACCGCCGACCACTGACCGCTGCCCCCTGCCCTCTCTGACCGCCGACTACTGACCGGTGCCCCCTGCCCTCTGCGCTGCGCCAGGCTGCGGGAGCCGGAGACGGTGCGGCGTCTGTCGGCCGCCGCCGGTGCCGGCCCACTCAGCGAGGCCACCTGCCGTCAGCTGATCGCCGCCGGCGACCACCTGCAGGGACACGACCTGTGCCGGCAGCTGTACATGGCGCAGCTCGACCTGAAGCTGCACCTCGGGTACCGTGCCGCTATGTACCACTGCACCGCGGGTACCGTGCCGCTATAATGGGCCACTGTACCGCGGGTACCGTGCCGCTATAATGGGCCACTGTACCGCGGGTACCGTGCCGCCGAATAGGATTATCCGTCACGTATAGGATTATCAGTGCTGACTGTAGCTTGGCGTGCTTACTTGTGCCGCTGACTGTACTGGGAGCTGCACTGTAGTGTGCTGCGCTGGCCGTATTACTGTCCTGTGCTATAGTGTACTGCACTCAGCTGTATTGTTCTGTCCGGGATACTGAACTGTACTGTTCTGAACGGCTGTCCACTGTTCTGTCCTGGGTACTGTGCTCTACTGTACTGTTCTGATCAGGGTACCGTGCTGTGCTGTACTGTTCTGATCAGGGTACCGTGCTGTGCTGTACTGTTCTGATCAGGGTACTGTGCTGTGCTGTACTGTTCTGATCAGAGTACTGTGCTGCGCTGTACTGTTCTGATCAGGGTACTGTGCTGTGCTGTACTGTTCTGATCAGGGTACGGTGCTCTGCTGTACTGTTCTGATCAGGGTACTGTGCTCTGCTGTACTGTTCTGATCAGGGTGTTGTGCTGTACTGTTCTGATCAGGGTACGGTGCTGTACTGTTCTGATCAGGGTACTGTACGGTGCTGTACTGTTCTGATCAGGGTACTGTGCTGTGCTGTACTGTTCTGATCAGGGTACTGTGCTCTGCTGTACTGTTCTGATCAGGGTACTGTGCTGTGCTGTACTGATCAGGGTACCGTGCTGTGCTGTACTGTTCTGATCAGGGTACTGTGCTGTGCTGTACTGTTCTGATCAGGGTACCGTGCTGTGCTGTACTGTTCTGATCAGGGTACCGTGCTGTGCTGTACTGTTCTGATCAGGGTACTGTGCTGTGCTGTACTGTTCGGATCAGGGTACTGTGCTGCGCTGTACTGTTCTGATCAGGGTACTGTGCTGTGCTGTACCGTTCTGATTAGGGTACGGTGCTCTGCTGTACTGTTCTGATCAGGGTACTGTGCTCTGCTGTACTGTTCTGATCAGGGTGTTGTGCTGTACTGTTCTGATCAGGGTGTTGTGCTGTACTGTTCTGATCAGGGTACTGTGCTGTGCTGTACTGTTCTGATCAGGGTACTGTGCTCTGCTGTACTGTTCTGATCAGGGTATGGTGCTGCGCTGTACTGTTCTGATCAGGGTACTGTGCTCTGCTGTACTGTTCTGATCAGGGTACTGTGCTGTGCTGTACTGTTCTGATCAGGGTACTGTACGGTGCTGTATTGTTCTGATCAGGGTACTGTGCTGTGCTGTACTGTTCTGATCAGGGTACTGTGCTCTGCTGTACTGTTCTGATCAGGGTGTTGTGCTGTACTGTTCTGATCAGGGTACGGTGCTGTACTGTTCTGATCAGGGTACTGGTGCTGTACTGTTCTGATCAGGGTACTGTGCTTAGCTGTACTGTTCTGATCAGGGTACTGTGCTGTGCTGTACTGTTCTGATCAGGGTACTGTGCTCTGTGTGTGTGTGTGTCTGTGTGTCTGTCTGTGTCTGTGACTGTGTGTCTGTCTGTGACTGTGTGTCTGTGTCTGTGACTATGTCTGTGTCTGTATCTGTGACTGTGTGTCTGTGACTGTGACTGTGTGTCTGTGTGTCTGTGTCTGTGACTGTGTGTCTGTGTCTGTGACTGTGTGTCTGTGACTGTGTCTGTGTCTGTGTGTCTGTGTCTGTGTCTGTGTGTCTGTGTCTGTGACTGGGTGTCTGTGACTGTGTGTCTGTGACTGTGTGTCTGTGTCTGTGTGTCTGTGTGTCTGTGACTGTGTGTCTGTGTCTGTGACTGTGACTGTGACTGTGATTACTGTCCTCCAGGAAGGACGGCTTCTGGCTGAACCTGCAGCAGGAGCTCTACAGCCAGTTCCTGCCGTTCCAGCTGAACAGCAAGGACGCGCACACCATGAGTTTCGTACAGGTGAGAGCGGTACACCGCGGCCGGCCAGCGGGTGTACCGACAGGCCGGTACAGCACAGTGTACCCAGCAGAATATGTACCGACAGGCCGATACAGCACAGTGTACCCAGCAGATGTACCGACAGGCCGGTACAGCACAGTGTACCCAGCAGATGTACCGACAGGCCGGTACAGCACAGTGTACCCAGCAGATGTACCGACAGGCCGGCACCAATACAGTGTATTACAATGGACGGTGGACACTGTGACAGTGGTATAGCACCTTAGTGGATCAAATGAGCCTGTAAGACTTTACAACGGCGAGTCCCACAGCCAAACACACAGAGCGGCAGCGCACACGGAATGGACCACTGTCAGGGACGAGGCGCCGGGGCCGCACACGGAATGGACCACTGTCAGGGACGAGGCGCCGGGGCCGCACACGGAACGGACCACAGTCAGGGACGAGGCGCCTGGGCCGCACACGGAATGGACCACAGTCAGGGACGCACACGGAATGGACCACAGTCTGGGACGAGGCGCCGGGGCCGCACACGGAATGGACCACTGTCAGGGACGAGGCGCCGGGGCCGCACACGGAATGGATCACAGTCAGGGACGCACACGGAATGGACCAGTCAGGGACGAGGCGCCGGGGCCGCACACGGAATGGACACAGTCAGGGACGCACACGGAATGGACCACAGTCAGGGACGAGGCGCCGGGGCCGCACACGGAATGGACCAGTCAGGGACGAGGCGCCGGGGCCGCACACGGAATGGACACAGTCAGGGACGCACACGGAATGGACCACAGTCAGGGACGAGGCGCCGGGGCCGCACACGGAATGGATCACAGTCAGGGACGCACACGGAATGGACCACAGTCAGGGGGATGAGGCGCCGGGGCCGCACACGGAATGGACCACGGTCAGGGACGCCGGGACCCCGCCTGGTGTACGACACCCAGCGATATCTGAACAATCCCTGGCCGGGAAGTGACTGTACTCCGGGTCAGCTCCTTCATTACCGGTCTTGGCACCATACTGATGGGTCATGTGATGTGCAGACAGACATACACCCGTGACCGGGCGGGGTTGGCCGGCCGGCCGGCTCCCGTCTGTCTGTGGCCCCTCCCCTCCCCTCCCCTCAGAGAGGGGACACCACGGATCGGGTGGTCAGTGTCGGTCTGACCCCCCTCCCCCCCCCCCCCCGGGTATCCGACCGCGCGGGTCGGGTGGCCAGTGTCGGGTGCTGGCCGGCGAGCCGGCGGCGGCGAGGGCTCGGCAGGCCGGCCGGGGAGCGCCGCCGCCGCCTGTGGGGGCGGGGGGGGGGGGGGCGGAGCATTACGTCCAGGGCCTCGTTTCATAAAGCGAGTCCGTAACTTACGTCGGTTTTTGGTCTTAAATTGCAAGTGCATCTGAAGAGATAAAGTTATTTCCCCCTTTCCTTTCTGTTCTTGCTTACAAGATAAATAAATTCAACAATTCAAACTATCGTCATCGCTTCACATGCACTTGCAATTCAAGACCAAAAACCGACGTAAGTTACGGACTCGCTTTATGAAACGAGGCCCTGCAACCACCAGTACCGCACCAGCAGCACACCACCTTTGTCGACAGACCTGAGGAGTAGAGACCTTCCCCGCCCCCTCCCCACGCCCCCACTACTACATTACCCTCACTGCAGGCCCGCTGTTCCTCCTTTCGTTGGCCCGCCGGTCGGCCTTTGTCGTTTCAGTGCGGGCTCACTGCTCTGACCGACTGACAGAGGGCACGGGAGGAGTGGGGACCGGGCTGCAACCCCAGCTGCCGGACCTGGGCCTCTCCTACCGCCGACCGCCGACCGCCGCGAGCACCTGCTAGTGATACTGTGTCCGTGTCCGTGTCTTCGACTGTCTGCCTGTCTCTGTCTGTCTGTCTGTCTGTCTCTGTCTGTCTGTGTCTGCCTGTCTCCGTCTGTCTGTCTCTGTGTCTGTGTCCGACAGTCGCTGGCGCCGTGTGTCTGTGTCTCTGTCTGTCTGTGTCTGTGTCTGTGTCTCTGTCTGTCTGTCTGAGTCTCGACGCCGTGTCTGACCTGTGCCTGTGTCTGTGTCCGACAGTCGCTGGCGCAGGACCTCGGCGGCGGCGTGTACAGCGCACTCTGGGCCCGGATGATTGCCGCCGACGTGTCGGCCGCCTTCAGCGAGTGCGCCGGCGACACGGAGCAGCTGCGCGCCGTCGGAAAAAGGTGGGAGCCGCGCCGCCCGGCGCCCACCCGGGGGGGGGGGGGGCAGCACACGCGCACCAGGCCGGTGTCCGATGTGCTGGTATGGTGGTCACTGTTCACTGTTCAGGTCTGGTGGACTGTGTCTGAGCGGCGCGTGACGCTCTGCCCGGGCCGTGTCTGACGCCGTGTCTGACACTGTCTAGGCTGTGTCTGACGCTGTCTGACGCTCTGTCTGTCGCTGTCTGGGCTGTGTCTGCCGCTGTCTGGTCTGTGTCTGGGTCCGCTGTGTCTGGGTCCGCTGTGTCTGCCGCTCTGTCTGCCGCTCTGTCTGACACTGTCTGACACTGTCTGACACTGTCTGCCGCTCTGTCTGACACTGTCTGCCGCGGCGGCAGGTTCCGGGACACGTACCTGTCGGCCGGCGGCGCCGTCCACCCGTCCGAGGTGTTTCGCCGGTTCCGCGGCCGAGACCCCACCTGTGACGCCTTCATCCGGCTGCACGGCCTGCACCGACTGGGCCGGCAGCAGCAGCACGGCTGAGCGGCCCGGCCCGGCCCGGCCCGGCCCCGTGCCGCTGTACCAGACCGCAGGACTGCAGCACCGCGGCCCAGTGTTGTTGTATTGTGTTGTTATCGGAGGCGGCTGTCAGTCTGTGCCGCCGCCGCCGGCCGGCCGGCCGCTGTGGACCGGTCCGCCCGCGCAGTACACACTGTACACAGTACGCAGTGTCCCGGCGCGGCGCGGCGCCGCTGGGAGCGTCCCCGTCCCCGGGCGTCTGCCGGCGCCGGCGCGGCCGGTGTCCGGTGGCTGAGCAGTGAGCAGGGGGGCCCGGTGAGCCGCTGCCGGCGCCGGCGCGGCCGGTGTCCGGTGGCTGAGCAGTGAGCAGGGGGCCGGGTGAGCGGCTGGCGGTGTCACGCCGCCGGCTCCGACTGCAGCGCCGCCGCCCCCGCCCCCGCCGCTGTCGGCCCGGCTGTTGGCCAGCCGCCGTAGTGTTGTGATGACTAGGAGCTGTGCAAACGGGAGCCGAGCTGCTGAATGGCCGAGTGCGATCGTCCCAATACATGATAGGTCCGGTATGGCCCAGTAGTGTGGGTTGGAGAGCAGGTGTGCCGGGGTCGCTGAGCCAGCGCACCCGTCACCCGTATATCGCCCAACGAGGTGTTTATTGCTGGCAACATCAGCGGCCTGCCTGTGCCGGGGTGATGTTGGGATTAGGAAGCTGCAGTGGTGGCGCTGAACTGCAGGGCGCCTGCCCGGCGGCCTGGTCCCGGAGGACGGCCCAGCGGCCAGCACTGACGGACGGTACGGGCCGGTACGGTACGGTACGGTACGGTACGGTACGGTACGGACCGGTACGGTAGTACGGACCGGTACGGTAGTACGGTACGGGACGGTACGGTACGGACCGGTACGGTACGGACGGACGGACGGACACAGCGGGAACGTCATCGTGGAGAAACCAGCGAACCGCTGAGCTGCACGGCTCAGAAACGGACGCTCCCCAGTCCACTAATTAGAATGCGTTCCGGGCGTGCGGAGCGTCCATGTAGTTCATCTCGCGCTGGCGCAGTTGTACGCTGCCCTTATGGCGGGGTGTGTCGTTTTTCCGACAAAGGAGAGGCGCTACCCGGAAATGCTTCTATTTAACCAAGCCAAAACAAACTTAACCTAACCTGTCCTAACCTATAACCTACAACCTACAACCTAATACCGTAAACCTATAACGGGCCAAACAAACCGTTCAGAGTGATTGATTGACTGCAAACACCGGCGGCCCGTTCATTACTCACCAGGCGGGCATCCTACCTTACCGACTTGGCCACTCAGCCGGAGCGAGCCGACCGGAGCGCCAGTTATGACCCAGTATGGGGTTCTTTCTCCTTTGTTGGAAAAAACGAAATGCGCGCGCGGGCGGCCGGAGCAGGGGGAGGGGGGCTGGGAGGCGGCCGGAGCCGGGGGCGCTGGACGGCCGGAGCCGGGGGGGGGGGGCTGGGAGGCCGGAGCCGGGGACGCTGGACGGCCGGAGCCGGGGGGGGGGGGGGCGCTGGGCGGCCGGAGCCGGGGAGGGGGGGGGGGCTGGGCGGCGGCCGGAGCCGGGGGGGGGGGGCTGGGCGGCGCCCCCGCTGCGTCAAAGGCAGACAGACCGGTGACCGACCCCTCAGACGCTGTAACTAGCGGCCGCCGCGGCCCGGCCGAATTGGACTACCAAATGACCAAAATCCACCTCCAACCACACAACTACAGTAATGGCCCATGCCCCTATTGCTTTCCGAACGTCAATTTGTCACTTTCGGGATTAGAAGTTTAAGACTTGAACGAGTCACCGAGTGCAGTGCTTCGTGTTGGTCCGCGGCTCCGCTAGCGCCCGATGACAGAGAGAGAAAGAGAGGGAGAGAGAGGGGGAGGAAGGGAGAATTTATTGGAGCATTTGGAGCATCCATATTCACACTTGTCGAAACATCACGATTGGCGTAGAAGCGCTATGGCGCTTAAAACGAGACGCCGCTCAAAACAAATAGAAAGCAGACATAACAGTACTAATCGAACACTACTAATCACTACTGATCTTAATCAAAATGTCAATATTTATTTGACGACTCCGGCTCCGCCTCCGGGCTATATCGTTTCAAGGCTCCGGCTCCGGGCAAAATATGCCGGCTCCGGCTCCAGCTCCGGCTCCGGCTCCAGCTCCGGCTCCGGCTCCGCACCCCTGCTGGGCACAGAGCTGTGTTAACAACTCATGCATCGTTGTCAGGTGGGCAAATGGAAATCATTTCACATTGAGCAGAAGACAATATAGGATGGGCAATATGCCATATACGGGTCATGTAGATTGTAGAGTGACTTGGTTATGTTCACACTGGACACATGCACGTCCAGCGCTGAGCGAACCGGCACCGGAAACCCAGCCCCCGCCGGGAGGACGGGGGGGGGGTGCTGGCCCGTCTGGGAGATGGAATGCTCACTGCTCACTACTCACAGCGTAGGCCCGGCTCGCCTAACGGTCACCGCTCGGGAATCGTTCCCTGTCGACACGCCCACTGTCGGAGACGGCGGGGCGAGCAGCTGATTGATGAGGTGTTACCTGAGTCCGAGTATTTGCGCAGCTACCTACCCAGTCCGTCCATTATAATGCCTTCGATGGTCGGCTGGTTAGCTCAGCGGCGGGGGCCGTCCCCTCGGCCGCCCCGACCGGCGGGGGACCTCCCGCGGCGGCGCTCGGTCACCCACGCGTTGATGGCGTCAGAGGCCTGCCAGGCGGGCCCCGACCCGCGGCGCGCCGGGCGGCCTGGCTCGGTCTCCCGTGGGCGCAATTCCCGAAAAGCTTCGGCTCCCACGATATCTTCAAGGTCAGCTGGCTCTTTGATTGAGACTGCAATGTCTCCCTCTGTCTTCTTCACGCGCACACAGCCGTTGGTCGTGTAGGCGGCCCACAGAGACTTGCGTTTCCGGAGCTGACTAGCCAAGAAGAGTAGATGCTGGTTTTAGCTGTCAGGCACTCTGAAACAAAGATGCGGCTAACTACGGGTCAGCACCGGATGGCCACCCACCTTCACAGCCTTCAGCTCCTTTCGCTTGTCGAATAGTTTTTTGTCGAGCGTTTGTTGTGCCGAATTTGGCGATGATGGGCCGTACCTTGCCTGGCTTTGGACGTCCAAGGCGGTGGGACCGGTCCAGGCTGTCGGCCGACGGATGGAGACCGGCGCACACTGGGCCGGGGGCCCGGAAAAGTGCTAGAAATTATATGTGATTGAGTTGTTGATCTCATTGACAAACAAACATGCTAAAAACGAAGTGGGGCTGCTTAACCCTCGCCGTACCTATTGTCGAACCCCCCACCCCCTCGGCCGGCCGAGGGGGGAGGGTTGGTCGACCCCTTTTCGCCGTTCCGCCCCTAATGGAGCTAGAGCCTCGCGGAAAAACAAGCGTGTGCGCTGTTTCAAGACGGAACGATTGATACCCGATTTTAAGGTCCCAGGTCAACCGGTAACCTCTGAGGTGAAGTCAAAAAGCCCAAGGTAGGGTTTGGTTTTTGGTAAATAATTTCGCAAAAAATGGCCGCAGAGCAGCGATTTTGGCACCATCGTGTTCGCCTGGCTCAGGCGCGTCGAATGGTATATTTTTTGTCCGGGTGAGGTCAACTTAAGGTGTTGACCTCGAGTCAAGGTCAGGTCAGAGCCCATCAGGCCACGAACTTAATCGAAGGAAGTCGTATCGCATATCATTCGATTCGGGAGGTCTTTCCGAGTCCATTGGTGGCTTTCCCGAGTCGCTGGCTCAATTTGATCATGTGTTATTGACGAGAAACTCCTATGACACGTCACGGAATGTCAAAAATGCAAAAGTAAAGCATCGGATCTTGCAAGGAGTGCATGAACTCACGATTCCGTGTGCTTGAGATAGTTTGAGATCATTCCATGCGCAAAAACAACAGTTTCCTTATTTGCCCTACAAAGTACCTAATCGTGTCGCGGGGCTCCATCCAGGAGCTTGGTTGCCATGGAAACGACGCTTTGAATAAAGTCCTTCATCGCCGTAAAGTTTTCTTTTGTGATGCCCTAAACGCAAAATTCAAAATCTCGTGGAGGTGTGGCCCTAAAAATGCGGCCCTAAAGTTGTGGGGCTAAATTAAAACAGCTCGAGCGATGATGGTCTAAACTTCTAAAACGGGTATGTATGAGTTGACAACCAAATCAGTCGGGCGCACTGTGGTATCTCCGATTCATTTATGGAGACGTTTCTATTATTGGAAACGTTTCCAATTTTGACTACTCTTCTGTTCCAAAAATGGAAACGCTCGTTCCATAAATAGAAATGCTAACATCTCCGCACATATTTTCTTGCCAAGGGTGGCTGGATGTGATGTATAACAACTGTTTCGTGTAAAACAAGCTCAGATACACCAAAAGCACTTGTCTTCTTGAATGGAAAGCTGTCGTATGCATTCAAATTCACGTCTTTTAAATGCTCCTGAATCGTATCTATTTATGGAGACTTAGTTTCCAAAAATGGAAACGCCGATGTTCCAAAAATAGAAACGCTGAAGTTCAAATGTGTGCAAACTTAGCTTAAATGTGTTTTTAAAATTCACATGCAACTTAAAATTTGATGTTTTGGGACTGGTTTAGCATCTCGGCTCTCGGCAGTTATCTTGGACGTCGGGTTCGAAAATAATAAATTACGCGCCGCAACTTGAGCACATTCAAAAGTCAACTAAAACTAAGATTTCCCAGAAACTACTGGACAGATGTGGTCCAAAGTGGGCAATACATAAAGCGTAGATATCATTTCAATATATAAAATTAATATCAATGTTACACATGAGCTAGAATGAATAAATTCATCGTCAGAATACAACGGTATTTGGTGTGACGACGGTGCAGACCTTATTTCCATCCTGCTTTTTACGTATTTGCACGGAGATTTACGTTGATCCGAGCCTACGATCATATTCAGCACATTTGAAATATCATAAATTGCCCACTTAAGTCTCCAAATAGGGCTTTGCAACAACTTTCATGCGATTTAATCAAAGATTGACGACCACCAGGCTGCTGGTACACCGGTAAACGCAGCGTGAAAATGAATGAAAAACTGAAGGTCCCGGTGATGTGGTTGTTCCAATCAATGGGTCAGTCTTTCAGTAGTCTGTTAAAAATGTTATTTTTTGTTCAAAGCATTCATAAATGTTATTATTTTCGATTAGAAAAACGTGTGAATTTTTTATCACGTCAACATGTTATAAGCATCGCCTCGTTCGTCAACTTTCGGTTTTCTGATCGGAAAGTCGGAGAACAGGAACATAAACTAGAATGCTGGCTATCGATTGGTGGCATCCTGCGCATGCCAAATTGCACCAATCAATGCCCAGTTTGCTTTAAAGGTAGCGATACACACAGCGTTTCCATTTATGGAACAGACCGTTTCTATTTTTGGAAACGGCGTATCCATTTTTGGAACATTGTTCCAAAAATGGAAACGTTTCCATAAATGGATCGGAAATACCACAGTGTGCCCGACTGAAATAAGCCCGTTTTCCTTTGGACGACAACCACCGAAACACTTTTTTTCCAGCCC